TTCTTCCTCCTCTTTGCATGGATAGTATAGATCATGACCATCACAACCACGTCTAATCATTGGTATGGACAATGGATAAGCATCAATCATATTAAATCTTTACAAGATTCGTCTAATATTTATTAGTTGGTAGATAAAAATGTTACCATTTGTTAGATGCATAATCTGAAGATCAATGCAGAAAGTTATTTTTCCTACCATTTTTATCTCAAATTCACGCATAAGTAGGTTAATAGCTGTAATACATGCAGATGTAGTGCCTACTAGGTTAAGATCATCAACACATACAACGATGATCACAAAACTAGTTTTATCTCGTTTGATAAACAAACAAGGGATTAGTGGATCACTTATAAAATTATTTGTAATTAAATAATCTTGAAGACATTGATACTACATGCGTCCAGATTGTTTTAAACCATACAAGGTATTACATAATTTAATACCATGATATTGTCTTGGAGCAGATCCATTTGGAGTTCCTGTTTCTAAGCCAGTTGGAATTTTCATATAAATATTTGCATCAAGAGAACCATATAGATATGTAATTACTACATCTATCATATACATTTCAAGGGTGGCATGAATTGTCATTCAAATAATATATCGAAATATAATTGAATCCATGACTGGAGAATATGTAGATTCATAATCAATGCTAAATCGTTGAGTAAATCCTTGAGCAACAAGATGAGCTTTATAGCAGGTTATTTGACCTTGAGCATCTCGCTTGTATATTAATACCATCTTATATTCCATAGGGCGAGATGTAAGAGTATCTAAAATTGGACCAAAGACTTTCCTCTTATGCAAAGAGGTATAATCCTCCTCGATAGTAGTTTTTTAATTTGACCAATTAGAGTGACACATTGCCTCTTCAATGGTTTGAGGTTCATGATTGTCTTTCTTATAAGAAAGAGCTTCTATAATCATATATGCAAATGATTCATCTACTGTAATAGATGGTTTGTCCCAAATATCATTTGTAGCACAATATAGAATAAATAATTCTTTACTCAACTTGTTCTTATTCTTTCCAATTCCAAGATTATTTTTCATAGGAATTGAAGGTACATTATGCATGGATATATCATCATGAATTGGTAGTCCCGCAGAATGAGTGGCAATTTCTTGAGAAATAAAACCAAGCTTAGTCAATTTTATAGCTTTCTTCTTATGCGGTTGCTTATCTGGTCGATAAGTTATTTTAATTGTTGTTGTTATATCTTGAAGTATTATAGTCAATGGCACTACAATCTAAGCAGGTGGATTCTGAGCCTCATTAATAAGAACTCTTGTAATTCTAGGTGCATCATTGAAGCCATCAGGTGTTTCATCTATAATTCGTTTTAGATGTAAAATCTAAGCAACTTCAATTTTTACCAAAGATGTCCTAGGATCGGGATTCATTGTAAACATTTTTAGTACTTCAAATATGAGTACTTTATTTCTTTGTTGATTGAATATTCCTCCTTGAAGAGATGGAAATATATTTTGTTCAAAATGGCAATTTTACAAACGTGCATGTAATAATTTGCTAGTTGATGGATCAACAATACAAATAATACTTGGAGAATCAAAACCAACATATATGCCTTTCTGTCGATGAGTTCCAATGGTACGCCATTGAGGTTTTGGTACTTGAATCCAAGCACAACAATCAAATACTTGTAAGTGAGATATATTTGAAACACGACCCAAAATAAGCTCATGTAGTCAAATAATTTCAAGAAAAGAAGGGTGGAGGCATATTAATGCTGCAGCATGTAAAATTGCATGACCCCACATAGATGCAAGTAAATTTGTCTGAAGGAGGAGTGGCCAAGTAATGAGTTGTATATGCTTTATAAATGACTCTACAAGTCTATTTTGAGCATATTCATATGGAACACAATATGTCAACTCAATTCATGTTGCAGTACAATAGTCTTCAAAAGACTTTGATGTGAATTCTTTTGCATTATCTATACGCAATGTTTTTATAGGATAATTAGGAAAATGTGCCCGAAAATGAATAAGCATAGATATAAGTTTGGCAAACACCATGTTTCGAGTTGATAAGAATGAAACATGTGATTGTTTATTTAATGCATCAACAAGGACCAAAAAATAACAAAATGGTCCCAATATTTGATTAATAGGACTACAAATATCACTATGCAATCTTTTAAGTATTGGTGGTAATTCTTGTGGAAGTTTCTAAATTAAAGGCTGAGTAATCATTTTACCTTACACGCATGCACGACATAATTCCATAGAGTCTACATCCACAAGCTTTAAATTAAGCCCAGTTATACATAAAATGATCTTTCTAAATAATGTGGATCCTAGATGTTTCAATCGTCTTTGCTAGAGAGAAACACGATTCTTTGTGATAGATGATGTAAAATTAAATAAAATAGGAGGTCGAATCATAATTCGGTATAAACCATTTTCTGTAGCAAAAGCTTTTTCAACAACTTTATGTTTCTTCGCAAAAACCAAAACCTCTTTTCTATTTAAAATGGCGGTATAGAGGTAATAACCATTAATATGTACATGTTAGTAGCTGATCAGACTCCGAGGTACTCAGGGTGTAAACATTGCATGTTTATATTTTATGATAGAATCCGTAGGTAATTTTATCATTGTTATGCCCTCTTGGAAATAAAATGCATTTGCTCCAGCCATGGTCATCATATTTTTAGTTTGCCAAGTTGAAGATTTTTTAATAAAAAATTATCTATCTTGTAAGATAGTATGTGTTGTTGCAGAATCAATGAACGCATCATTTGATTCATCATTAGAGATTTTATCATTCATATAAGCTTCTAAGTCATCAACACTAATTGAATCTATCGATGCATCCATGGTATGAACTTCACAAGCCTCAGCTTGTAGTTTCTTATTTTATTGGAATATTTTAATAAAATATTTTGAAGTATGGCATGCATGTGCTAAATGTCCAATCATTCCATATTTAGGGTAAGAATGCATCTTTGATTTTTATTTTCTACTATAATTAATAGTAGAATGTTTATTCTTTCCATACGGGTAGAAATAGTCATGACTATGACTACCTTGATACTTATAAGCACGTTTTCCATGTTTATATAATTTTTTCTTAGATTTTAAAATATTAAGTGCATGAGATTCTGGAACTATAGTTTCAATAGGATGAGCTTCCACATTGCGCAAGAGTAGCTCATTTTACTTCTCCATAAGAAGTAGATAGGACATGAGATCAGAATGACTGAAATTTCATGTTCTTATATTATTGTGCAAGCACAGTAGATACAAGAGGAAATGTAGAGAGAGTTTTCTCAATCATTTCTTCTTCAGAGATACTTTGTCAATATAATTATAATTGTGAGACAATACTATACATTTTACTATTGAAAGCATTTAAATTTGAAAAATCCAAGACACGTAAATGTGTCTAATTATGACATGCACTTGGAATGAAAATGGTCTTTTGATGATCAAACCTAGATTTAAGATTCTTCCAAAGTTCTATAGGATCTTCTATTTCCAAGTATTAATGTTGTAATGCAGGTACAAGATGACGACGAAGGAGAAGAAGTACTTTCCAACGAATAGCAAGAGGAATAGAAATACTTATTGTAGAAGATTCTTCAAACATAATGGCATCCAAGAGTTGTTTTGTAAATAAATTTGTTTTTGCCATTTTTGTCCATAATAGATAATTATTTCTATCCACAGTCAATGGTGGAAATAAAAGAGGTTGAAAATGTTGGGATGCACTGGTAATAGTTGGAACCATAGTAAAAGTAGTTGAAGATGTTGAAGCACTCGTTATAAATAAATCTATAAAGCAAAAGACAAAATCAAGTAAAAAAGTTAGATAAAACATACCTTAAAACATAAAGTCAAATAAAATGATAAACTTGAACTTCAAAAATAAAAATATAATTTTTTATTTTTATTTTTTTATTTTTTTTATAGAAGAGAATATGGATTAAGGCAGCAAGCAACAGCAATAGGGCAGCAAGGTGGCAGCGGCGACAAGGTGCTGGGGTGAGCGACAGTGGCAGCGGCGGCAGGGTAGCAGCGGTAGCATCAGTGGCGACAGCATCAGCGTCAACGACGATTGGGTGGGCAATAGGATGTCAGTGGCGGCAGTGGCAGCAACAGGTTTGATGGCGGTTTGGCGGTAGCTCGGCGATAGTTTGGCGATAGTTTGGTGGCGATTCAACGGCAGCTTGGCAGTTGTTTGGCGGTAAGCACAGGGCACACTAGGGAGCAAGCTGGGGTGAAGCTCAGCTGGATCAAGTATTCTAAGGAAGCAGGACAAAGAGCAGAACAAGTACTCTAAGCAAGCAACTAATGTGTGAGGGGCCAGCAAAAAGAATAGCAAGATCATGAGGCAGACACTCAACAAGAGTAGCAACAGGTTTGAAGAGTCAAGACTAGAGCAAAAAAATTGTGATAGTGTGTAGAAGAGAGTCGTGCTGATAATGTGTTGAGAATGTTTAGACAGATATAAGAGTAATAGTAAGTAATACACACACATAAGAGTAGTAGTAAGTCATACACACAAGAGGGTTTCTAAGGAGAGAGAGCTTCATACATAAAATTCTATTGATTTGGTTGTGTCTCATATACAAGAAGAGAAAAGGGGAGAGGATAAACAATACTTCTCTACTAGACTCTAAATACTGTAGCTACAGTATTTACTGTAGCCTACAGTAAATATTATGGAGAGAGCCGGCTACATTTAACGATCTCAACAAAATGCTTGAACCAAAACGACAACAAATTGATATTTAAATAAAGAAAGCCCGCTGTTCCACCCTACCCGCTGCCCGCATTCTACCAGGGGCAGCGGACAGGCAGCGAGGGTCGAGTGGACTGAGCCCCGCGGATGATAATCCGCTGGACGACATTTATCAGATGAAGCCCTTAAGCGGATTTACGTCGTCAGTTAGTAAAATTCATCCGACGATTCTGAAAATTCATCCACAAGCCTCATGCAATCGTCTCTTTTTTAAAGCTCTCGGCAACAAATTTCTAGGTCTGACTTGCAGAGGTGTGCAGGTTTCCAAGCAGTCGTTTGGAATTGAAAATAAGGTGTGCAATTGTGTAATTGCGAGCTTGAGAAAGCACTCTTTTGACGATTTGGACCTACGTCAGTTTAGTTTCACTTGATTCACTCTCTTGACGCTGCTTACGAGCTCGTTGTTGTTGAAGCGAACGGCCACGTTTTCTCTTCGAAGAGCTTTTCAGGTAACGTCGTAATCTTACTTTCAGCGTGCTACGCACGCTTCATGCCGCTCTATGTTGTGAAGTAACGGAGACAGGGAGTGTATTAGTCAAGTGTGCTGTGCGTTCAGAGGGATTCTTCTGCCGTGGATGATGTCATGTGGAGTGATGGCTCGTGTCTCGAGCAGGTTTCTTGTTCCTGGAGTAGAGAGTTGGTGAGCGGGCAGAAGGGCCGTTTTTGGGAGTTTAGGAATTGAGCGATTGTTGTGGAATTTTTTGAGAAGGCGTTTATGTAGCCATGTTAGGGGCAGTGCGGTTCATTCCGAGGGACGAATTGCCCGCCACTGCTAGTGATGAAGGTCAAGGCGACAAGTCCTCCAAGAAGCGTAAGTATGGAGCAAAACACAAGCACGGGGATGAGAAGCGGAAGTATAAGTTGAAGGATGATCGATCCGATTACAGGAGAAAATCTAAATCCAAGCATTCTGAGGATGAAGAGGAAGAAAAAGAGTATAGCAGCGACGATACATCCGAAGACTCAGGTGCTTTCTTGGTTGATATTTCTGTCAATTCTGGCGTTTTTTCGCGCACCAGGAGACGGCTGGAATTCGTGGTATTTAAATGACTAGGGTTTGAAGTTGCACCTACGAATAGCTGTTGGTTTTGAGGAGAGCACCTGCAAGAGGTTTGGGGTTGGATTTTGGATTTGGATAGAGATCACATTCTCGAATATGCAGGCCTTTGTTGCAACCTCTTCGGGTGGGATTAGCTAATGTTTGATAATTCAGTCGAGCTTCCAAGGGCTCCACTTAACTTCAACCCTAACATTCAAGTTTCGAACATCAAATTGCAGATGGTGTCTCTAACAGGAAGAAAAACCGTGAATTGCAAGAGAACAAAAGGAAGGAGGCAGGTTTAGAATGGATGAACCTTGCTCCAGAAAGACCGCCGGCTCCGAAGGTTGACGATGCGCTAGTTCTCGAACCAGAGGTATGATGTCCTCTTCTGTATCTTGGTGGAAACAATCGTGATGTGAGATTGTTTCGATTCTCTTGCCTTAAGGTTTTGAGAATTTATAAACTAGGTTTTCCTTTATATTCATTTTTGTTGGCTGCTTTCAAGGGCATTATACTCCTATACACTTTACAAATTTAAAATTTTGAGGTGCGTAGGTAAGGCTTGAATAGTTTGTTAGGTTTCTTTAATGGCTTGGTTTTTGCCTATCCTCACAGAAACCAATCAGCAATATCAAAGAGCTTAATCCTTATTGGAAAAACGATGGCAAAGGACTGCCTACCGACACAGAAAAGGGAGGTTTGAGCGGAGGAGGTCGTGGTAGGTTGCCACCTCCACCAGGTATTGGAGATGGTGGTGCGAGTTGGCGAATGAAAGCCTTGAAAAGGGCTCAAGAGCAAGCTGCACGTGAAGGCCGAAAGCTAGATGAGGTTTGTGTTCTGAGTTTCCGTGGTGCCGAGCAGGTGGTAAAATTATGTTTGGACCTGTCTTTAGGACGAGATGGCTGTGCTTGTTTCTCATATTGTTTACTGTTGTGTTCATGTAATTAAAAATTACTTAAAAGAAGCTTTCTAGAAATTGACGCTTTGTTGGAATGGTCAGGTGGTCGAAGAACGATGGGGTTCTTTAGCTTCACTTGTCGACAGCGTTGCGATTCAAAGGGCAGCGCATGCCAATGCACATATGCATGCTAAAAGAGACAGAACGAGGAAAACTACTGATACCCCTCAGGCTGCTGAACGCACGAAAGTGGAGGAATCCAAAGAGGGAGAGGACGAGGATGATAGGAGGATAAGGACAGGAAGCAGAGATTATTTGAAAGACGTTAAAGTAAAAGATAACCGTATGAGAGAACCACGAGTGGACCGAAAATTGTCCTGGAGAAATAGCGGAGGTATTCGACCAGAAGATACTGCTATATTAAAGGCTGCCGTTCAAACTTACAACAAGTTTGAAAATGATGGAAATTTCTTGAAGAGGGTGCCATCTTCTCCGTCTCAGAAAGAGTCGAACACTGCAACTCATGCCTCCACTACGATCAGGACTACGACTAAGATTGGAACCACCAAGATTGTGAAGGACATTGATCCACACGATGTCAAGATAGGTAGTAGTGCTCGTGTGACTACTGTTTCGAAATCGGTCACAAGAGTGGAGGTTCAGGGTGAGACTGGGGATGCTGCTCCGAGCCGCATAAAATCTTCACATGAGGTCACAAACATTGCAAGTTCTGAGTCTGCTCACAGAGTGGATTCTCATCATGCAGATGGGATAAATAACATTAAACCAGTATTAGCTGGGGCTGATACTGGGCGAAAGGGTGAAGTTAGCGTGCAGGTTCAAAATTTGAGTAGTAACCAAGTTGCAGCAAAAGTGATGCAGTTGCGGCTTCGAGGCAAACACAAGGAAGCAGACGAACTTCAGGTAAGTTTATGACTTAAATTTAGGCATTTTCTTAGTTCACAATCTAGATGGAGGAATACATTTTTCGAATATGAGAAAAACCTTGTACTGGGCATTTTTTTTGAACTCTATAGGGGTGGGGACAGGGTACGCCTTCGAACTCTTTAGAATTGCATCTTCGATGCGATAACATTTGGTTAATGGATATAGTGAGTTCGCTCTGCTTTTCTTTTCCTTTTGGTTGGAGGATCTGTGGAGTGTGAGGATCCAGCACTCTTGAGAGCTTTTCGAATCATCTACTTAAACATTCGTTGTCCAAATGTTTTTGTGTTGACAGAAGCAAAGCGAAGCTGCTGTAAATGCTACTGCAAATGCTGCTGCTAATGTGGCGAGGGAGCAATCAGATGACATAGAAGAAAAGCAGTCTGCCCCTGGGCCATCGCAAGTTTTAGCAAGGCTCGAGGCTTTGGGGAAAAAAACTTTAGAATCACGGAGGGAAAGTGCGGACAAAGCATTGGCAGGATTGATAGGTCAGCACAAGATGTATAAAGCAGATGACGAGTATGAATACTTGGGTCCCCTGGCAGAGAAAAAGAAGAAGAAATCTTCCCAGGGTGCGAGAGAACGCCCTTCAGTACAAGGATTTAATCGCATTCAAACACAAACGGAGCGTTGCCAATTATGCTTCGACAATGTACAGAGACCCAAGCATCTTACTATGGCAATTGCTAACCATACATACCTTACATTACCTCCAAGACGACCTCTTGTAAATGGCCATTGTTACATAGTGCCCATGCAGCACGAGGGAGCTACCCGTAACGTCGATGATGATACTTGGGAGGAACTTCGTAATTTCAAGAAGTGTTTGGTACGCATGTTTGGAGAGCAGGAAAAGGAGGTTATATTTTTGGAGACAGCCATGCATCTATCTCGTCAAAAGCGCCACTGTTTGGTGGAATGTGTACCCATTCCATCCACTTTTGCCAAGGATGCTTCTCTTTACTTCAAGAAGGTTGAGCCCGATTTCTTATTTAAGTACATGTCTATTTCGAAGTAAGATGTCCGATGCTCTTCTCATACTCTTACTATTCTTATTTTGATGTGGGAAACCGCTGCAGGCAATCGACGAAGCAGAGAGTGAATGGAGTCAACATAATGCAAAGAGGCTTATTGACACTCGGATCAAAGGCCTACGGTCCTCTGTGCCCATAAATTTCCCCTATTTTCATGTAGAGTTTGGAATGAACGGAGGTTATGCTCATGTGATTGATGATGAGAGCAAGTTCAAACCGGATTTTGGTAGGGCTGTATTGGAAGGAATGTTAGAAATCGAAGAAGAGGAAGTTCATATGCAGGCGTTGTCGAGGAGGGACCAAGAAAAAGTCGCTAAAGACTTTGCTAAAATATGGGGACCACATGATTGGACAAAAATGCTGGATTAAATGTACCGAGCATTGCTGCTTATTTATGATGACGCTTGTATCTTTTGGCGTGTTTGACAAAGAGATCTTTGTGAGGTTGTTAATTGTGTTTTTTGAAAGTGTACACATATGAAGGGCGATTTTTTTTTTTTTTTTTTTTTTTTTTTTTTAAATTCTTTACACATGGTCAACTTCTAGATAAAAGTTTTGATGTGAAAAGCAAGTTCAAAGGATTTTTCACATATAACATTTATTATATATAACCAATGGCTGGAGGGCTCCTGCCTTTGTGAGACATGAATTGGAGGCATGGTATCTAGATGTCACTAAATAACTAAAAATGTGAACTGAAGCATCTTGTGAGGGTTGAACATTGAGTGAAGATGGATTCTTCAGCCACCATTTGCCTTTTTCTCATTACGAAACATATGGTGATTTGAGGTTAGAAATCAATAGTGAAGAAGAAGAGATCTTCAAGTAGGATTTATTTAAGGTGAGAATATTTTATACCATTCTTCTATCTTGTTATCTTCCTACCTTTCTAAGTTTAGTTTTGTGTGAAGATCAAATGTGTAAATACTTCAAAAAGTGCACTTGTTGTTTGTTAGATTTGTTAGTGTTGTAGAAACTTCAAAGGAAACCTATTGTAGTTTTATTTATTTATTTATTTATATGTGTGTAAATATATAAATATATATATATACAGACACAAAGGGGAATGTTAAATAGACCAATGCTTTTACTAAATAGACTTGTCTTTGATGAAGAATATGGTAATCAAGAATAGTGAATGTGGTTGGTTTTTATTGGTTGTAGATATAATAAAGAGGAAATAAATCTAAAAATCATTCCTTTTTTTATGATGGTTAAGATAGGTGAGTTGATTTAGTAAAAACTTGGATCTATTTAATATTTCTTTATATATATATATATATATATATATATATATATATATATAAATAAAAATGTTTGAAAATGCATGTTGATAATTTAAACTTTTTCTTAAATTTGGTGGTCAAATTTTTACATACATATTATGACAAGTAATTATAGCTTATACAAGTTCAATTTGGTATGTGATTGATTTAACATCTACAGGTACAATGGCATCTAGTTCTCAACTTTTATTGCCAAAGAAAGATTGTAGTATATATCACTCATTGGTGATATTATTAATTGTTAGATTATGTTTGATTAACCATTGGTTAATTTCATATTGTATTGCAAGGATATATCACAATAGTATATTAAAAAGTTGATTAAATAGAAGATGTTTGATGAAAGAGAGTAAGTACTTTAGATTGGTTAAATATTTGTTTTGGTCATTTTATTTCAAGCCATGCAACAATTAGACTTAACTATAGTTGATGCATTAATTTTATGGCAGAAAATCACATCAATTTGTCAAGACTTTCAACTCAAATTGCAAATGTTCTCAATAAAATATTAGCTAAAGATTTATAAAACAAAATTTCTAAAAGAATCTTAAAATATTATTTCAAAATAAAAACTTTGTTATTATAAAACTACAAGTAAGTAATCCAACTATATATTTTTTTAGTTTAATGATAATAAATGATAAAGTATTGTGAATTGTAAAAATAGACCAATACACAAAAACAACAAAAACCTTGATAACTATCCATTAATTTTAATATATTATTTTTTTCAAACTACCATATGAATTTTTATTTTTTGATATTAAAATCTTTGTGTATGTGTGCATTTATATATGAATATATATATATATATATATATATATATATATATATATTAATCCCTCAAAAACTAATAATCTTCATTACTTAATAAAAAAATCTTAGGAATTGACTTCATTCTACGATGCATAATCAACAACCTCTAATTTCTAATAATTAATTGATTTTTATTGAATTTTATTAATAAAAAAATATTATTAATAGTAGCCATATGGCCAATGAGGTTATGTGGCTATATATGATTGGGTGAAGCAAGTTTATATGGCTTACATGGCAAAAGTAAGCAACCTAGATTGTAGGACCATGGCAAGAATGATTTCCTTCTCTACCTTCAATGCACCACCACCAATGATTAATGATCTCTAATAATTAATATTTTTTTACAAAAAATTATATTAATCAAAAAATGACATATTATACAATACAAGTTTGCATCACTAAATATTAAAATTGTGACATGAAAATAAAAATAAATTATTTCTTAAAATCCTTTTGGTACATATTTTTAAAAATTAAAGCCAAGTAATACAATATCATTATAAATAAAATTTATATATTATTGTAATTGATACAAATAAATTATTAGCTTATGTTTTTAAAGAGCAAAGTGGATTTAAATAAAATAAAACTTAATAAAATTTTTGTACTATAGGAGCATTATTTTGAATAGAAATAATCTCACATTTAGAAAGAATACTATTTGGTGGTATGTCAATATTGAATTAACCATTAAATAATTATATAATAAAAATTAATAAATTTAAAAAATCTAAATATTAAAATATTAAAAAATCATGGTTGACTTAATGACCAATGCTTAATTGACCACTTATCATGGACATACACATGTAAACCAATAATTACCTATATGATTTAGGTAAAAGTAAGTTAATTCCATAATATCTTATATAGTAGCTTTTTAGAAGCTTCATAGATGTTGCTTTGACTGTATATATGTTTTTAATTGATTTTTTAGATTAGAAATATGGCCAACAAGTTGGCCATGTGCCACACATGTTGGTAGCTTAAAGAACAAACTAACTTTGTGGCCCATGCGTAGAAAACTTGCCTTGTAAGCTAAGGCATATATCTTCCAAAGTCAACACATATTAGAGATCCTATAGAACATCGCCTCGTAGGTTCTAATTTTATAACATATATAGAGGCAAGAGTTAAGCCTTCTTCACTCTTGTCAATTCTTTTTTTACTATTATTCTAGATTTAAGAGTCTTTAGTTTCTTTGTCTTTTGGCAATAGCTATTCCAATTTGTTTTTAATATATATACTATGTTATTACTATTTTGTCACTTTTCTTTTAATACAGGTTTTCCAAGTTTATGCATCATCTTCCAATTCATGTCATTGATAGATTAATAAGAATATACTTACAATATTAGAACTTTGTCTTTTTTTCATTAAGAGTGGATTACTCCTTTTTCTTGATAAGACATAAGTGTACTAGAAGTTACAGATTACCTTCTTCTAAACTAATATTTTTCTTAGTATCTTCTTTGTTCTTAAGTCGCCTCTTCTACTTGTCTTGAGCAATATTAGATATTTATTTTTTAAGTATTATCATGGCAAAGCTTGTTGAAATAAAAAATGCAATGGTACAAATATAAGAGTAATTGAGGGAATTAATGCTTGCGATACATCAACTCAATTTACCACTGTAAGGAACAATAAGAAGGAAAGAAGTGATGATATAGATATGATTGGAGCTGCTTCAACATCTACATCCAATCATATCTCTTCTCCTATGGTAGAACATTCTTCATGTACTAGAGAACTAAGAGTTGTCTTGCTTGAGAAGTTTGATGGCACGAGATCTGAGTTTTGAGGATTTATCAATCAAGTATAATTTGTAATTGAACTTCAATCCCAAAGCTATCCAATTCTATGATCATAAGTTACATTCATTGGTACACTTCTTTCAGGTTCAGCATTATTGTGGTTTTCATCTTTTTTTAAATGACAAGATCTAATATTGGATAATTTGGAGGTTTTTTTAGTGATGTTTCGATCCATATATAGAAAACATGATGTAACTCATGTTGCAACCAATAAGATCCATATTTTATGACAAGACAATCAATCCATAACATTATATGTTTCACAATTTTAACAACTTGTAATTAATATTAACTGGAATGATGTTGTATTTATTAGCCAATTTTCCTATGAATTACAATATGAGATAAAGAAATTGATGCTCAACTTATCTGATCTACAAACATTGACTCAAGCAATTGACTTTGCTATGAAGTATGACAGTCAATTTTTCAAATTTTGATCTAAGAGTTAGATAAGTAAGCCTCAACGTTACTATAATTTAATGGCAATACCAATGTCCCTTCAACAAATACATTTAAAAGTAGTGGATATACAAATTAATGTGAAATGTTTCAAACCTCTTATTGAGTTAGAAAAGACTTATCACCATCAGAAAGGATTGTACTTATATTGTGGAGAATCTAAACACACTACTCAACATTGTCCAAAGAAATGATACAATTATAAAATGAGGAGTACAAATGTCAAAGAAGACAATATATCGAAAGACAAGTTTGTCTAGGTACAATAGGGATCGTGTGGCTGAAACCTTGTATAATATCTAATGAAGGTTCTATTCTCTCTTCAAAACCTTCTTCTTGTTTTATATTAAATATTATTTTAGGACTTATACATTACAAAGCCTTTGCCTTGTTGGATTCAAGAACCTCAATGTATTTCTTAGATGAAGAATTTACTAAAAGACTTAACATATCTTTAGTAAAGAAAACTAAACTTGTTCACATAAAAGTCATAGATAGTCGTTCCTTGTCTTCTAAAGATATTACTCACAAAATCCTTCCTATAGAAGTAATGACTAATGGTCATAATAGCTTTGTGGTATTTAATATCATTAAATCTTTCTAATCCAATCATTTAAAGTTTATCATAGTATCATAGATATATGCATGTAAGCCAATAATCACATGTATAAATAGGTAGAAGTAAGTAAAAGTAGATAAAAGTAAATTAATTCTATAGTATTTGGTATGGAAGCTTTCTAGAAGCTTCATAGATGCTGCTTTGACTTTATAGGTGTCTTTAATTGACTTTTTGGGATTAGAAATGTAATCAACAAGTTGGCCATGTACCACACATGTTGTTAGCTTGAAGACCAAGCTAACTATATGGCCTACACGTAGAAAAACTTGCCTTATAAGTCAAGGCATGTGTCCTACAAAGTCAACACATATTGGAGGTCCTATAGAACATCGCCACATAGCCCCTAATTAGATAATATATATAGAGACAAGAGTGAAGCCTTCTTCATTCTTGTCAACTCCTTTCTTGCTTCTAGTCTAGTTTCAAGGGTCT